ACTTAAACTTCCACAAAGCTTCACATTTGATTATAGGTTCTATTTTTAGTTATAGAGTATTTTATCTTTAACCAGACTCAATTATATATGAGATAATAAGAGCTTATCAATTAAGCTATAAAATCCAACCTAACAATTTACTTAAATTAAAATATTTTTTATATTAAAATTTATAAATTTCAATTTTATTATTAAATAATAATAGAGTTAATAACATTTGTATGCTCTTTTTTTTTACTTTGCTAAAGTTTAGTTATTGGTGATACTGTCTTTATTGTAATTTAATTATAGTTGCATAATTGTATAAAATAAGTATACAATTAGTCAGATATACAGTTTTTGACTATTTATTTAAGGGTAGAGGCAAGTATTTTAAAATTATATATAAATCTAATAGTAAATTTTTTTAATATTTAATTTTATAAAATATTATATTAAGTAAACTAATTTTAATCATTAAATAAAAGTTGTAAAATAGATATTTCTGATTCTAATGATAGTAAAATTATTAAAATAGGATAAAAACTTATTGAGATATATAATTTTAAAGATTAGAATATAAAATTATAAAATAAAATTAACTAATAGATTTATATAAATTAACCAATCAAATTCTTTATTTTTGTACTACTTAAGTAAATTTTAACCTACCTAAGTAAACTTTCTTATATATATAAGTATATTTTTTTAAAATAATACAATATTTCAAAATTTTATTATAATAGATAAATAATTTTATTTATAATATTATAAAATTTTTTTATTAATTAATTAAAAAATAAAAAAGTTTTATTAGTAGCATATATTAAATTTAGATAAAAATATAAATATTACTATATAAAAATAATCTACATGTCTCTATTTTTAAGTAGTTTACCTGCAGATTCTATACTAGCTATCATATCTGTAATTTATTAGGAGATTATCTAATTAAATACTTTAATTCTTATACTATATCTGACAGATAACATAAAAGTTTCTGTATACTGAAGTGTTTCCTAATCTAATCTTGACCTTTTTGTCTGTACAACTGTTAAGTATTATATATTTCAGAATATGTATTTGGGTATAAGACTCTAGAGGATCTTTCTGCTAACTAATTATTCATATTTAATTTTTGTTAATAAGATTTATTCTTGTAAATTTTACTCAGACCTCAGTATCAACTTCATAGCATATTTCTAATACTTAAGTTATACTCTACTTTAGTCTTTAGACTTCCAATTCAGATAATCTAAAATGACTGTAATCTGTCTTTAATATTTCAGAATTTTATCTTTTAAGATTCTTTTCCTTCAGTTCAAGACTTCTGATAATCTGATTGGTGATATTCTTTACTTGAAGTTTTATTTGTCTGATTTCTTCTACATCAATATTTATTTTCTAAATTTAATCTTTATAGTAGTACTATCAATGATCTATGCTACTTCTCTACTTAGGTCTTTCCAAGTACACTCCAACTTTCCAGTTCTACAAATTTACATAATCACAAGGACTTATTTTGGGTTTGTACTATCCAATATTAGTTTGCATTCTTTTGTGTAACTTCAATATTGTACAGATGCTCCATGACCTGTCAGTCATGCTGGTGTGACTGTAGTTACAGGTATTTTATTCCAACTGATTGACAAAATGCTATTACCATAATATCACTTGTGTATTATATAGATGATTAGTCAAATTTTCATTATTAGTAGGTTTTGAACTTACTACCTTCTACTTGGGGGTTGACAACTTATTCACTTCACTAAGTCACCACATCCATCTGCACTCTCTTTTAAAATATTAATAAAGTAAATTTTATATAAATTCTAATCTAGTTTTTATAAATTATATCAATTAATAATGAATTTCAAACTTTAATATATTATAACAGTTTGTTTATTATAGCTCTATAACAGTTTATTTATAATAGTTTACATTTAATAGTAATGCGTGTAATCTGGTTTTATTTTTTAAAAAAACTGGTTTATAAATATGTATTGATAAAGTAAATTTTATCGTTATAAAATCATGCAATTTCTATAATTTTATATTATAAAAACTTAGTTTTTATATAGTGTTAAATTAAATGCATAAATTTAAAGAAAAAAGATTATCTTATTTTTATTAATCTTGAGATGTTGGGGCATAGATATACATCACATAGCTTTTTAACAAAAGATTTTCTTTTTGAATTATAAAATATCGAACTGACAAAAATTGACCAATCAGAATGATCAGCATAGACTGATTATTATGCTGAAATTGATCGATGTAAAAAATGACAATCTTGCTTATACTTATTTTTCCATTTCTTTTTTCGAAATGATGTGTATACATGATTTAAATTTTTTTTGCTGTTGCTTACTATTCCTTGTTATAATAAAGATATAATCATTATTAAGTCATTCTTTAAAGGACATTATTATACCATTTGTGTTAATAAACCATTTTGGCATCATTTTGAAAAACTTGAACCTGACCCAGGTTATAAACAAGGGTGTACTAAATGTATGATTATTTAAAATACATTGTTTTAATAAAAGAGATTATATTTCTAGTGATAACCTTTATATATATTTTTTATAATTCATGAAAAATCAAAAAAAACTCCAGTATATTCAGCGGATCTCGCGTGGAATTCCGCGCGCCCATCACTAAAAATAAACCGATTTTTCTTAAACAGCTGATCTATTTTCAATAATCTATTTCAAATGAGTTCTAAAAACGTTAGTATTCGTTTAAATCCGAAATTATCAAAAATGAATTAGTCATTCTTGAAATGCTGGAACATCACTATGAACGATCGTCCATCATGTATGGCTGATCTATGATAATTTTGAATACAAAAAGAATCATGCCTTTTGTCGTACGTCATACAATTAAATTCGATTAAAATTACCATGAAACAAAGGATCTACAGCCCGGCATGTGTCCGTGCCTAACAAACCATTTTAATGCATAGGGCACGGACATGGGCACAGGCATTTTTTTGTTTGGCTTGAAGGTGCCAGGCCTAGATACTTTGTGCCTTATTTCGTTTTTGGCTTAAAAGTACTAGACATGTAGCCAAACCTAAAGTGCCAGGCACTATTATACAAGTGCGAGCACTTTCTTAAGCATGACACTAAAGTGCCCTGGCACTTTTGAGCATATGGCACGGGCGTACTAGTGCCCGGCATGGTGCCCAATGTGCCAACATGGGCATATGCAGAACTCTAATTGAACCCCGATTTTTTTAAACAGAGAAAGACTAATATTCACATGTATTTACTGTAATTAATAATTTTAACGGCGAATATAAGATATGTAACTGTTATATAAATTTTCAATTAATTGACTGCGCCGCCAATTAATTATCGATAATTGAAATCAATTCCCCCTATTAGTGTTTGGAACCGGTTTTATTTTTCTTATGTTAAAACCGGGTTTAATCGGATTTAACATAAGAAAAATAAAACCGGTTCCAAACTCTACCCCCTATAAACAATTATTCGGTAGACCGATTTATAGCAGTCATTTAATATATTTTTCCGGATCTTTTTTTGCGATCGCTATAATTCTCCTTATTCACATTTTATTTAACGATTATTTTTATTGATTAAAACATATAAACTATTTACTCCTCTCATTTTTCATAATATAATATCGATCATTTATCAATTGATGAACATAATTACTCTTATTTATTAGAGTTGTTAACGGCTTATATGACTTAGTCTGGCTCCTAAAAACCATGACTCCAGCTTGAACTATGACTCGAACCATGACTTAAGCAATGGTTATTACTAGAAATGTGACACCCCTCGATGTCAATTTAAGCACTTGAACCCAATCACTATATATAACTATTTCGTATCAGAAGCAATAGCTAACCCTTTTGTTACATCAAGGTTATACGGTGTTGGTCTCTGTTATTGAAAACTATGATCGATAGACTGTTTAAAATATCTGAAATTTCTTCTATAATTATCATGAAAATCATGGGATCATGCCTTTTAAAAAAACTTCTATAATAATAAGTGTAAATAAACGACTGATCCTTCATCCGGTGTGCAACATATAAAAAAATTATTTTACAATACCAGATCGTTCCGCTAGTACATGTTATGACTATAATCCACACCATTTTATTATAATAAAAATGGTGTTGGATTATAATCATATCATGTACTAGCAGAATGATCTGGTATTGTAAAATAATTTTTTATATGGTGTACACCGGGTGTAACATCTGTTTGTCAATAATAAATATCACCTATGTATGGTTACTACAGCTTAAATCTATATTAAATCAAAATAATTTACTTTTAAATTCAGATAGCCGTTGACTTTATTTCGCTGACAAACTATATAGACGACATCACACATGATGACAATTTAGCATTTATTAGTTACAACTATATATTGTTAGTTAATTGTAATCTGGTGTGACGTCAATGAAGTGACTATCGATGAAGTGATACGCAACCTAAATTCAGTATCAGTATCTATTCATATTATTTTTTGATGTTTTTTTTTACATAAACAAAAAACATGAATTTGACAATTTTAATTGGTTTAATTTTGAAGTTCACAAATTTGCTAGCTTTTATGCGAACCATTTTGCTTTAATATTAATAAAACATGTCGAAGAAACATGAAAATAGATTCATTCAACTTTTATGTGTAAATTTTAATAAAAATATTTTTCGAGTGATGGTACTATTTTATATAAATTATTGGTGGCACAACATCTACTAAAAATCAAATAAATGATTTTAATCATAATTTTATTGAATAATAGAATGTTTTTTTTTATATTATATAATAACACAAAAAGGTAATGTGCAAATTAATACAAAATATTGCAATTATTTAAATGTAGAAATTTTTTTTTTTAATGTTGTATATACTGATTAATAAGAAATTTTAAATACAAAAAAAATCTATAACAAATATAATAAACCATATTATTTTACTTTTCCATACTACATATTTTTACTAGTTATTACTAATTATTTGAATCACTAACATTTCTAATTATTTGAATCGCTAATTGTTTTAGATGCTAAAATAATATAATGATCTTGATATGAATGATATTTGTCTACTTCCTCAAAATATATTATGTTTAATATGCGATCTAGCTCACTATCTGAGATATTCATAACTGAGGTAATTAATGACTTAATTGATTTTTTCATTTGATACATATTTGATGTCCATATTTCTCCGATTTTACCAAGATTTTTGTCCCATCTTTTAATTTATAATTGGTTAGTAAGATCCAGATAATTGAAGAAAAAACAAATTATATAAATATATTTTCCATGAAAACTTACTTTCCGAGAGCTACAGCTTTACGAGTGCAATTTACATTTTGAAATCCTACATCTTTAATAATTTGTTCAAATTTCGGAAGAAATAAGAGATCGATTTGCCTTTTTTTTGTATAATGCTTCAACTGGAAGTGATGTTAATAAAATCAATGGTGAATAAATTTATAAAATTTATAAAAAAATGTAAAAAAGTTTTGAATACGTACAACATTGCTTTATTAATTGAGAATAAACAGGGCCGATAGATTTTGCTAATTAATAATAATAAAGATTTTTATTATAATGTATTGTACGTAAATTTTGAGTGAACCGAAATTTAGTGAATTTAGAATTTCTTTCTTTAGATTTTAAGATTATAGAATTCCAAATTTATATAAAATTCTGTTTCCACCCTATGACAAAGGTATCATCGAATTCATCGATTTATTGATTGGTACTCACGAATTAAATCAAATTCTACAAACTCAACAGTACCACCAGGTTTCAATACTCTCATTATTTCATTCAAAAGTGGTACCCATTGATAATTCTTTAATGCTAATGACATATGTCTCATAAAAACATAATCGAATTCATCATCGTCGAACGGTAAACCATCAGATACGCTACATTCTTTGAAGTAACAATTCGATGGTTTTATATCACTAGGAAAGGAAGATATTATATCTACACCATAAACGTATGCCTCAGGAAATTCTTGAGCAATCTCAAAACTATTATAATTAGTAAGGTATTAATTAATATTTATTAAGATTATAATAATAATATTTGCAATGAACGAAATTAACGAAATTGAAACTTTACCACCAATGACCAGATCCACATCCGATGTCCTACAAGTAAATAAACAATAATTAAAAATTGATGCAAATTTTGTACACAAATTTTTAAATAAATTTTATATATGGTAATAAAATAGAATAAAAATTTTTGAAAACATACTAAAATTTTACTTTCAGGCTTAATAATATCAGAAAGTGGGGCAGTGTAATTGCCACCATGCAAATGCTTTAGCGCGAAATGACAAGTTTGAACTCTATCCGTTTCTTCCCAATCAGCAGGAAACTTTTATGATAGAAATAAATTATCGTAAGTTTCGAAAAATTAATAAATTATATAAATTAATTAATAAATTACTAAATATATATTAATAATAAATTACCAAATATATAGAAACATCTTCATCCAAATAAGGACGACCACCAAGAATTGTTAAATTTGACACAGTTTTAATATTGTAGCTACATGTACTATCAGTACAATCTGGATAAATACTATTAGTTTTTACATGAGAATGATTGATCCGAGAAAAGTTGGATTTATTTCTTTTTCGAACAGGTTTAACATTATCGTTACGAGATTCAGTATTTCCCATTTTAGTTAGATTAGAAATAATTAGACATGTATATATTTAAGTACTTTTTGTGAGAAAAATTTAATAGTTCTTAGTAACAGTTCTTATGCAAAGTCACCAAAATTTTCCGAAATAAGCGGTACAAACCAATATTATGAGTAAAATAAAACGGAAAATTTTAAATGGAGACTGTGATGAGGAGGAGAAAAAAAGGCACGCTATTTAAGTTTATTAATATAATAAACGAAATAAAAATGATAGGATTACACAAGATTGGATAAAAATTTAAAATTATTGTTTCAATATCTTGCCGCGAGTTGACTGCAAAAAAGTTAATTAGGAATTTGTTAATAAATTGATATTAAATCGTACAACGACTTTCAAACATTGCGCCTATATTTACGGGGCTAACTAGATCCTCAGGAATCGGAAATAATACCAGTCAGAATAAGAATTCATAAACAAGGTATTTTTTCAATACATAACTTTATAGCTTTATTTGGACATTATAAAGTAATTCAATAAGGAGCGACTGTTGATCTATTGTAGAATCAGGTTCGACAATAAAGAAAGAACTTTAATAAATTAAGTATTACAAATCTTAATATGTAAAAAGTGATTTAAGTAATACAAATCTTAGTATGTAAAAAATGATTTAAGTATTGCAAATTTTAGTATCTAAAAAGAAAATTTGAACGTCAAATATATAAAGAAGGATCAAAGTTTTACATAATCGAAAATAAATAAATATGCACGGTGTAATCTATGAGTAGGTTACACATCAACCAAGTTAAGGGATGAATATAGATAAAAATATAGTTAGTGATTAATCATCTGACCTTGTACCATATTAACCATCGATTACAGTATATAAATAGGAAAATTATTTATTTGTTGATTTATACAATGTTAATTTAATATTGATTGAAATCTAATCTCATATATCTTCTATTCGTAGATAAGTCTACTTTCTAACTTTTTTTTTTTTTTTTACAAATAAAAAGTATATGAATTTTCAATGGAACACTTGTCAAATTTGTTTATGATATTCATTAAGAATTATCAGATCCCATGATATAACCATACGATATTCCGAGTAATAGAGTACTAAACTAGATAAGTATCAGTTCACGTCCTTAGATTATTAACTTTCTTTTTTTTATGAATGACGAAAAACTTGAATCATCTGAACTTAATAAAAATAAACAACACAATAAACAAATATTTAATATCAATTCTTAATAGGAAATGTTTTTATTTTACGATAAAACTATATGTTTATTGGTTAACCACGAGAATACAAACTATTTTTGTTTATTCCATTATATTTGTTTCACGGTTTATTAATTGGTCGACTTGCATTTTAACTATGAATAAAATCAAGTTTTTACAACTCTAATGCTTCAAAATAAATAACAAAAAAACTAGTTTGACAAGATGTACAACTACAATAGATTATACTGCAACTGATATTAAATAGATCATTGCAATAGATAACCGCAATAGATAATGGCAATAGATTAGTCGGGGATTTTAGTATTTGTAATGTAACTGTAAATTTACGCAAAAATTACAATAAAATTTATTAAGCAACCTAGATTAGATTAGGTTTTCTATCGACCAATAACATTAATATTTATTATCACGACTAGGATTGACTAGGACTCTGCAAGTGTTGGGCATGGCATTATTAAAACACAGTACCCATACTAGCACCCGTGCCTGTTCATGGCGCTACACTTTGATGCCAGTACTGGCATATCCCTATTTTGAGTTGTTTGTTGACTGGGCAAAAACCTTTTGATAGCGAGCAATCTTATAATAAACTTTACAGCCACTTATGCACCATACTGAATTAACATGATAACTTATATATTCTAATTTATCTCTTAGAAAGCTATGTAAATGAATTTTAAAATAGTTTTTAGTCGCAGATAAAATTGTAAGGGCTAGCTATCTCTTCAAAACAGCCAGATTTTATATACATTTAGTAAACATATTAATACATTAAAAATCAAGTGAAATCAGGTTATATTATTTATTAATTTAAAATTATATCATATTGCATTACCAAGCGAACTATATTAAACTCAAAACCTATAAAATCATGATATTCTAAAAAACAGACACTGTTAAACATCTGATGCTAAAAATAGAGATTACTCCCCTTTTAATTTCAAATATAAATAATTTCAATAAAATGAAATTTCTGTAAACTAGGAAATCAGAATCTGATGTAAGTTAAATCAATTTTAACCGATTTAAAACATGTGATGATTCTGATCCGAATATATTAAATTTCAGCATATCCAGATTATAATCATTGCATGATTTAAATCAGTAAAAATAAATCAGTGAAAACTGATTTTTTACCATCCTATGTAAGTCCGAAGCGAAAATAAAAATACCATTTAATGTCTTTTTGATATACTTTTTGGCATTTAATGGATTTTTGAATAATATCGGCAAAAATTTTTCGCGGGCTAAACTTGTACAATTTTTATTTATCCGTATTTATGCATGCGTGTAATATAGAGTGGTTATGCAGTGTTACACTGAATGCCTATCATCAAGGAACTTTCAATTCTCAATTTTTTTTATTAGAAGTTTCAGAGAAGCATTGCATATATGTGTATTCAAGTTTGATCAACAAATGAGCTCTCGCTACGCTTCGAACAATAATAAACATACTTAGATCAATAAAATATCGAAAATATAGAAAATTGATACGGACCTTTATAAAAAATAAAGGAGGTTGACACTTATCGGTATTGTTGTATATTGCAACAGACAATCATTAATCATGCGTATGTACAAGACCGGACCTAGCCGATATGGGCTAATTTCTTTGTTATAAATTTTATACAGTTGAATTTATGCAGTTTAGAAGTACTTTAATCTCCTGACATAGTTTGGAATACTCTTATCTCCTGAAATCGTAAATTTTTTTTTAGAAAAAACCGAAAAACATCATAATTATAGCACATTTGTAGAATCAAGAAAATTAAGCAGATGTAGTGTTAGACGTTAGGTGCATTAATATATTATAATTTAAGTCTCATCCTATCATTACCCAATTGCTTGACAGCGGGATGTTAAACATCCCTGCGGTTCCAATTCGGGTACCCGTTTACGGAACACTAATTTCAAATTATCATAATAACTCTGGCTCATATTGATACGTATACGTCAAGTCAAATTAAAGAACTCACTATCAGTAGCCAAACTTTTCAAATATTGGGGTAGTTGACATTGTGAGGCCCGATAACGTGACGTAAATACTCTGCCGGGACCTCACGTGAGACGGATACGACGATCAATTCCTCGA